AGAGAGAGAGAGAGAGAGAGAGAGAGAGAGAGAGAGAGAGAGAGAGAGAGAGAGAGACCAGCGAGTAATCGTTAAGAGTTGCATTGATAATGGACACAATTAAACGGACAAGTGCTACTCACATTTGACAAAAAATATTCAATTTTATCTATTGGCACTGGATCCAGAAACGATTCTACAATTTTTTGGGCACGAACATTACATTCCTTTTTCTTTTGCAGTGCTGCCAAAAGCTGCTCTTTGCTGTGAAATAAAATACAAAAAAACAATCATGAAAATCTGTAAGCAGCATTTGTTGATATTTCACAAGTATAACCAACCTCAAGTTGGATGCTTTGGTTTTTCGTTTAGTTGGTGGTGTTTTTGGTTTTTGTTTCGGTTTTCCTGGCTCCATTTCGTTCAAATTTTTTATTTATATATTTTATTCGAGTTCGAAAACAATTAAATTCATCAAATTATTTGATTTTTGCGAATCAAATGCGATATTGTCGTGCGAAACTTGAAACAATTCCAAACATGTCATTTGACAAATCTCATGTGTCATTATTTTCGTAGTGTGGCCATCGCCGGAAAAAAAATCCGTAGTTCTATTACAAGCAAATTGTGTTGACAGTCATACCGAAACACCGCCAATGCAACAAACAATTCACTATATATTCTCGACCTGTCAACTGGAGTAAAAGAACCTATTACACATTTTTGCGCTGATAAAAATTAAATTTGTTTGTTAAAGTGACATCGTCCATAAATTACATTCTGTCTCTAATTTTTTCGTTGCGCTAAGAGAGAAAATGTCTGATTTCGAAGAAAATGATGACTTCATGTGCGACGATGAAGAAGATTACGGATTGGTTAGTTGAAAATTCATTGTCATTGCAATCGGTTCGATGATATCCATATAATATATATAAATGTATATCGATGGACTCATATAAATTTGATGAATAATTGATTTATTTGATTCATAGGAATATTCGGAAGATAGTAATTCGGAGCCGGATGTTGACTTAGAGAATCAATATTACAATAGTAAAGCGCTGAAAGACGACGAGCCAAAAAATGCGCTTCAATCATTTCAAAAGGTGCTCGATCTGGAGAACGGCGAGAAAGGCGAATGGGGATTCAAAGCACTTAAACAAATGATTAAGATTAACTTCAAATTATCCAACTATCAAGAGATGATGATTCGCTATAAGCAATTGCTCACGTACATTAAAAGTGCCGTCACACGGAACCATTCGGAAAAATCCATCAATTCTATTCTAGACTACATAAGTACATCAAAAAACGTAAGGCAAATCGTATTTTGCGTGGTCAGCTATTTTATAAATGTTTTTATTTTTTATAATACAGATGGAACTTTTGCAAAACTTCTATGAAACAACGTTGGAAGCATTGAAAGATGCCAAAAATGATCGGTTGTGGTTCAAAACCAATACGAAACTTGGTAAATTGTACTTTGACCGAAACGATTTCGCCAAATTGCAAAAGATTTTAAAACAACTACATCAATCGTGTCAGGTAAACGAAAAATGAATATTCTTTTTCATCGCGTAAACACACAGTTGTTGACTTTTCAGACCGATGACGGTGAAGATGATTTGAAAAAGGGCACGCAATTGCTTGAAATTTATGCGCTAGAAATCCAAATGTATACAGTACAGAAAAACAATAAGAAACTCAAAGCACTGTACGAACAATCATTGCACATCAAATCGGCTATTCCGCATCCATTGATTATGGGCGTTATTCGAGGTTAGTTGCACGTCAATTTTATGGGTTTTAATTCAGTCAGAGCCATCAATGTTTATTGGAAATGTCTTGATTTATGTTCTTTTCCAATTCAGAATGCGGTGGTAAAATGCACTTGCGTGAAGGTGAATTCGAAAAGGCTCACACTGACTTCTTTGAGGCCTTCAAAAACTACGATGAAAGCGGTTCGGCACGTCGTACAACATGCCTTAAATACTTGGTGCTCGCCAATATGTTAGTATTCGGTTTAAATCTATCATCTAAATGTTTAGAATTGTTATTGGCGCTGGCGGTGCCTATAACAGCTATGTGAATTTCTATTCAAAATTCCATCTCTCTATTATAGGTTGATGAAATCGGACATCAATCCATTCGACTCACAAGAAGCGAAACCGTACAAAAACGATCCGGAAATTTTGGCGATGACGAACTTGGTTGTATCTTATCAAAACAACGATATCAACGAATTTGAATTGATTTTGAGAAAGAACCACAACAATATTATGGCCGATCAATTCATCAAGGAGCACATTGAAGGTACATCACATTAACTCATACTGCGTAAAGAGCATTAAGCAATTTTTCGGCAATTTATTTCAGATTTGCTGCGCAACATTCGTACACAAGTGTTGATCAAATTGATTCGACCATACACTCGCATTGCCATCCCATTCATCTCAACGGAATTGAATATTGAACCTGCCGAGGTTGAGAGTTTGCTGGTCTCTTGCATTTTAGACAAGTAAGTTCCTTGCCTACCCAATGAACGATGATGTGATGTTCATTATTCAATTTTAAAATTAATATTGTCATTTTCAGTACAATTCGTGGTCGCATCGATCAAGTGAATCAAGTTCTTGAATTAGACAAAGAATCCCGAAGCTCTGTACGCTATCAGGCCATGGATAAATGGGCTACACAATTACAATCACTGCAATTGGCTGTTATCAATAAAATGTCTTAAGGTGTTTGTGTTCACGCTTAACGCAAACCCAAACATACAACAAACTCAATCTGCCAAGAAAATTCAGAAAATGTTATTTAACAAATCAATTTAAGATCGATACATGAACTTCTAATGAAGAAGAAATTCATTGTGAAAATTGTAATCATTTTAATACAAAGATTAAATTAAAAAAATGAAAATAACACACATTTGGAATACACATTTTAGAAATACACTGAGTAATGAGTAGATTTTTTTTTAGATTTAAAACCGTCTCCATTCGAATCATATGTGAGTATGAATAGGTGAACAACTTCAGGGCGAATAGAACAAAAATAAGTTAAGAGGAAAAGAAGACAAATTGAAATAAATAACCAAAACATTCATCAATTTTAGCCTGTAAAATCCAATTGGAAAATATTGCTCATTTTTTTTCTTCTCTAATTTAAAATTAATATTAAATTAGAAAAACTAAAATAATAATTATTAAATTTCAGAAAATGTTTAACATCGTTGCTGCGATTATCAATTTCATTGAAATCATTTGTGATTCAAAAGAAATGTTCATTTGGCCAATTTCCAAAAATACGATTGAATGCTGATTCCAGTGGAATTTCTCGGTTTCCATTTCATCCAATAATTACAGAATTGCAACAATGTTTCAATTGCGAGAAACTAATTTGCAATGAATGAACTTCTTGATATCATTAGATCTATCAATGAGGTGTGAAGTAGAAATACTTTGAATTTTTTGATGTAATTAATTATTATACAGTTTTTGTATCAAGACACATAGACCAATCCTCAAGATATCTATCTTCCGTTATCACACGCGAATCACACGTCGACGCTCGACGGGTGCTTTAAAATCGATTCTCTACGGATTGATACAAAATAAGGTTCTCTCTTTCTCTATGCCAATTATTCTGTTAAATTCAGTTAGAGAAACTGTTATGTAGTTTTTTTCAAATCGAAATGAATGATACATTTGTAAATAAGTTATTAAATATTTGTTGATTTTTTTTTTATTGCTATTTTTTCTCCGTTTTCGTTCTTTTGACTCAAAAATCATTCTCTGTTGGAAATTATATATGCTGTAAACACTTGGAAACACTCTATACTTTTCAGCATTTCCACAGAATCTACTTTGTGAATTCGAGAATATTTTTGAGGAAAAATTTACCGGCTTAGTCTATTTACCAGATGAGGAAATAGCTCTAAATAAAAAAAAAGTCAAACATAAATTGTTTTGTCATTTGGGTTTGTTATTGTAATTTATATTAAAAAAACACATGGTTGAACTTTTTTTAAAAATAAGAGCAGTTACCTTGCCGCAACGATTCATATGTAGCATATGAGGCGAAAATTCAATTGTGGAGATTCGACTATTTGCGATAATTTTCCAAAAATGACCATCTTTTGTGAAAAATGAAAAAAATGTGTTCCCTAATTTTAGTGTATGTAAGTTGAAATGTGTGAAAAAAAATCAAACTCAGATTAATAATCGTTAGTTAAATATTAAATTCAATTTAAAGTATCCCGAGTATCCTACATTCTGTTGTAGAATAGTAGAATATTTACTGCTCTCATCGGCTTTCGTTAATTTTCATTAACTGCAATTGAAATAGCAAAAAATTAAAAAAAAAATGTTTCAATAATTGGTCTGTACAATTGATGTATCGATGGTTCCGTGAAATTTATCATTGTGAGAGAATTTTATTTTAATTATTTTCGTGAATATTTATACGGTGTCCATTTATAAAGTACAACATTCTAATATCCACACCATAATTACGAATTCGTTAATTAGTTCAGTTGTTTTAAGTTGTTGTTGAATGAAAGATAATTATTGTGTTATGAATTGATAAAGAGCAACTTACACATACCCACCATTTTCTGCGCGCTAATAAAGTGATTATTTCTATCAAGTGTCTGTGTGTGTTTGAAACGAGATGTGCAACAGATGAACGAAAAATCAAAAATTCAAAATTCGAAAATAAAGTAGCGCTCAAAGTATAAACGTGCAATCATTACTTGTATTCAGAATTTATGAGTTACAACTTTATAAAATGTTCTGGGATTCTAATTAGCACAATGGCTAATGTACTCGGCTATTTAATTAATGTATTGAAAAGTTCTTTTATACTCTGTGTCCCACTCTTTTTCTTACTTCGACAGAAATCACATTGAGCGCGAAACACAAGCACCCTATCCATATGAAAATCAATATCACTTTTAATTGGGCTACAATTAAAATGTTCGTTACCTTTTAACAACTACAATTTTAACGAGCTAATTTAACAAAATTATAATGTTTCAACGATTATCCTTTTCTGTCAGACATTGTCAGTGTCTAATGAAAGGTAAATAAAAGTTTACGGAGGTTAAAGCACTGGTACTTTCTCCGGGTGGAAAAACTTTTTTTTCAAACCATTTCAACATGTTTAAAAAGATGAAAAGGAATAGTTGGAACTTGACTTGGAATTAAAAAAAATCTACTCGTGACTTTTCGAAAAAGATTCTTTGCTTTGAATTTCCTTCAAATTAAAAATTCTTCGAAACTTGAAGAATCGATCCACTAGATAGATGAGCATTAAATTGTTCGCGGCAACTAAGTGTGCAGCGGCGTCATTGTAAAATTATGGAAAATTTTCAGTGAAAGATTAATCAGTGCTTAACTATGGTTGTCAGTAGGGGGTCGTGTGTATAAACATTGCGTCTAATGCAATAATGTGAATATATTTTGATTGCATTACAGTTCACAGAGTCTGTTAATAATGTTGCGATTGTTGTTGTTTGCCCCCATGCGACACTCATAAATACGACGTACACACTCCGCTCTGTTTTGATACAGTATGCAAATCACACATATCCACAAAATTTGCTGGTAATTTCATTTGCATTCGAGTCATTTTCGCAGTAATCAGGCTATGCGATGGAAATAGAATGTCGGTGAAAGTTCAATTTACCGAAAAATACCATGAAAATCGTTAAATGCGTCGTCAACTAGTCAGCAGAGGGTTTAAATTCTGAAAAATCAAATAAAACCATATGGAATCTGCTTCATTCAAACTAGTGAGACAGACAGAGAAAGAGAGGAAGAGAGAGAGATGGAGAAAGAGAGCGACTGGAGTAAATTATCTCTGTCGCTTGGAACAAAATTAATTTTATGCAAATGTGCATTGGATTGTTTCTGATTGAAACTTTGAAAAATGAGTCTTCAAAACCCGTAATGGGCCATAATTCGACATAAATGTTTATCATTATGTGGAAAAATAAATTTCAATAAATTTTCAATTTATTTCAGACTTGGAAAACTTGGAGCGATTCTTCTTCCCTTGAATGCGTAAAATTTTCCATACAATGCTCGTTGTTTTTGTTGTTGCCGAGAAATAACAAAAATGCAAAGAGTCAACGCAGCGAAATTCTTACAGTATATTGACAAAGAGTCGGTTTTAATGTATTTTTTTTTTGTTCATCTTTAAAATGGCTGTTAAAAAGAAATGGAGCAGCTAACGATCCATTTCAAATGTTTTGAATTGCGGTTGTCATTTTTTTCTCTTCTCGTATGTACGACGCAGAGCTCTCTCTCTCTCTCTCTGCAATAATGAATTTCATGCAATCAACTTGCAGTGGGTTGATACAACGCATATTTGAAACGAATAAACAGTTGACAGAGTTTCAAGTTGACTACAAAACGATGAGCATACTCTCAGATTTGCATGAACGGTAGAGAGCGGGACAAAGTCAGAAATAAAGAAATTGTGTGTACGGTCCGAGACTGCTGTTATTGGCTAGAATCGTAATTCGGAATGTAGTTTTTTGTGTGTCGAGAGATAGACAATTGGGATCGCGATGAGTAAACAAAATGTCACACGCACACACACTCAACCAAACAAAGATATATATAGAAAATCGCTCTTTTGACTTGTGGTTCGCCTTTCATGAAGAAGACAGCAACAAATAGAAAACAAACAAAAAAAACTGTTGTTCATTTACATGATAATCGAAATAATTCCTTTGCATCGCAATCTCTCTTCTCTACATATGAATGGGGTAGAATAAAAACTACTTCTCGAAAAATATTTAAACACGAAACCTAAAAAAAACTTTCAATGAAAAGTGAATCAATTTTTTTTCGTCCAATTGAAGTGAACCAAAAAAAAATTGTTCAATAAAAGTGAACCCAAAAAAAAAATTCATTTTAGTGTATTTTACACTGAAAAAACCGAGTGAAATTTTTTTTTTGGTTCACTTTTATTGAACAAAATTTTCTTGATTCACTTCAATTGGACAAAAAAAAATTGATTCACTTTTTATTGAAATTTTTTTTAGGTTTCGTTTTAAAATAGCAATTTTTCGAGAAGTAGTTTTTATTCTACCCCATTCATATGTATGTATACAAAACAGTATATGACATGCTGATGATAACATATCATGCATTGTAGAACATTAGAACGAAAAATATCGTAAAATACAGTGGAAATTAAACTTATTATTAAATTGAAAATTATAGCTGTAGCTTATTCGCTGCTTTGTACTTAGCCTTATTGTTATTATTGTTTTTATGACTGCCACGGCTCTGTGGCTTTTATATTATATTTTGTCCGTTTCGGTGCATTAGTGGTTACATTACGTAAAATGGTTGTTTATTAATAATTTTTATTATTATTATAATTAATAAATTGAAAAGAAAGAAAAGTCGGAGTTTAGAGGCAGCAGCTTTTTTTTCATTTTATTATTCACAAAAGAGTATCTCTTCAATGAGAAGATTTGGTTTGTTTGTTTGTTTTTGTGAGTTGAAGAGAGAAAGAGACACATATCAACGACAAACTGTCAAGTTTGATGCATGTTTATGAACAAACTGCGTGACTCGGTAGCAGAAAACAAAAATACACATGAACTATTAACGAAATTTCGGACATTTGCATTGCTCAACTATTGCTTTTGACTGAATAAAAAACTAACGACCTTTTTTCGACTTCCAAGTGGGGTTAATTAGAAAATTGCTCAGTCAGATATTTTCGACATTTGGAAAATGATAATATGACTGTAACTACTACAAAGTTTTAGGCCATGTTTATATCTTTCAAACTGGCCGGAACCAAAACATTTTTTTTACTCAAACGCATGTTTTGCATGGGTTGTAATTAAAGCAAGAAACTTTGGTAGAACTTGTTAAATGTTTTTTTTTTCTACAAACCATTTATCTCATGTTTTGGTTTGGTCTTATGCTGTAGACCATTGTTAGTTAGTAGCATGCTGGAACATATTTCAAAGAGTCACTAAAAAACTAGCAAATCTCAAATTTACAAAGGCGATATTGTTTTCTCCTCACTCCAGAAACAAAAGAATCTCATACGAACCAATTGTGAATACAGAACATATGCATGCACACATACAAATATTTTAAATCGCCGTTGAATGAGAAACATTTCGATTGGGCAAAACATTTAATTAAGTCATTTTCTCGAATCGATCGAAAATCATATAGTAAACAAAGTTAAAACAAATCTACAATTGAATATATTAGTCATTGCGCGCAATTGAATGGTGGCCGGTATAACCAATTCATTTATAAATTATAGATTGAAAATTGAAAATATACTGGAATATTTCACCTTTGACATAATAAACGTAAGTCACGTACGAAAATCCCGGTATTTATCAAATAACGTACAAACACGACGCGGACGCAACCGTCGCCGCCGCCGTCGACAACCATGATGATGAAGAGTTAAATGTTGAATTATGAATACAAACTACAGAGACAAACTGTGAATATGCTACAATCCCTTTAGTTATACCAATTATTCTTTAATAATAACATTTTTCAATGAGTGCACGATTTTCTTTTCGACAATTACAGAAGCAACAAACTTCTACGACGCAGTTAGAACAAAGAACAGTCGCCGGCATTAGTTTGAAGTTGGTACTCAAAGTTTTCAATCAATTTTTCAAAACTTTTCCAAATCATTAAGACATCATCCGAAATTGTTGTTCAGACATAATTGTTTCCAAATATGGTGAAAATATATACCTTTTGCTCAATTATTTTCCCAAATATATTTACGAAGTATTCTATGTTGATTTTGCGCAAAATCGATTCGAATATAGATCCACCTACAATACTTCAACGGAACAAGATAAAAATCTACAGCATCCATGTCACAATGTAATACAGTGTATCATCTGATTTTTGCCATTCTCTTTCTTCTCCGTTTAAAAAACCTCTGTCATTCTTGACAATCAAATCAAATTACATGAAATCTATTTTGTATCGATGTGCTTAATGGAGCTCAATGCAAAACCCCGAAAGTATCAGATTTCGTGATAAACTCAATAAAAAAAGGTGTGTCGGCATTTAAAACAGAGGAAGTGAATTTGATAAAGAGGAAAAAAACGATCAATCGCTATAATAACAAATGAATTTCCTCTAGAGGAACATCATAAATGAAGCGATTTCATTCACAATTTTTTTCATCAAATTTTACCTGCACACAGCACCTTTCATTCAGTTTTTTGTTGTTGATTCAGTGATAACAGCAATTCAATGAGTTTATTTCACCCTTTCTCGGCTAATTCTATGTAAAATACAAATATGTGGGTGCAATTTCTTTATATTTTCATTTTCAAAGGATGCGATCCATCATTGAAATTAGATACTTTTAATTATTTATGAAATTAAAGACGAATTGAACGTTCATTGACTGCATTTTAGATTGGCCTTTTTTTCGATTTCACCGACATTTTGCTATCAATTCATTGTGATTTAAAACTTTATCAATTCTTTTTGATGCAGCTAATTTTTCTCTTCTATTGATGTGCGCTGAACCGAACAAATATGTAATTATTCAAGTCTTCATTTGCTTTGCAGAAAGTGCCCATCAATTCACATGATTGTTTTCATTCATTCACTGGATCTGTTGACGGTTGTATATAATTTTGGAATGTATAACAATGCCGAATGCGATAGCCAAGAACGTATTAATGTACAATGCTGTTCGACGTCAAATGTCGAGTAAATAAAAGGGTTCAGAAGTGCGCTCATTGTTCATTGAAATAAATATAAATAAGCAAATGGAAAATTGATTCGTTTGTTTGTTTCAATAAAATAAACCGTCGAAATAATCGACAAATACCTGCTGTTTCAATCGAACAACTCGTTTCGTAACGTAATTCAATTCAACAAATTTTTTTTTTTTCATTCTTTCCGCCATTCTTATCCAATTTGTGGTTTTTTTAAAACTCTCCATAACAATTTGTGATACCCTTTATGGTTTTCCGATAAAAAAAAACACACACACAAATTGGTTTGTTTTTTCCTTCGTGCACCACCAAACACCGTGGAAAATTCACACAAAAGCGCGCCATTATCATTGAACAAATTATACGTGAAAAAATGTGCTTGTCACGATTACCACTGAACTTATCCAAAATGATTATCGAAACTGTAATCGAAATGAAGCCGTTTTTGTTTCTGAATGCGACACATGCTATATGGTGTCATGAGGACTCCATTTCCGTAGCGCGATTTGTGAAATTCATCAATTGCACAATTGTTATAGTTATTTTTATTTCTATTAACACATCCATTTCCGAGATCATATTTAGTTGTTTCCGGTGCTTTGTTGCCGATGAAACAGACAGTGTTAAAGATCCTGAAATTGACAAACCAAAAAATGATATTGAGATTATTTGTCATATGGAGGTGATTTAATCTATGACAATGTATCAAATTGCATGAACATTTATTCTTTTTTTCGTCCCTTTTGATGTGTGTTCGATTTGCTACCGCAAAATGTTCATGGTTATTGCAATGACTAAGTAAAAATCAACTGGAAATTGGTGAATGATAAAACAGAGTCATAAATAATATGATTGTGGTCATAATGGTCCTTCGATAGTGTTTATGACCCACTAACCTATCGGTTTTTTCATTGTTTTCTATCTTTTAACCAAAAACTATTACACACAAAGTGCCATTATGAAAGAAAACAATTGACAAAAGATACTACGATTGAAAGAGTGTTTCAAACAAAAGTTTGCAGGAATTGAACGGGAGACAAAATAAATGGCATCGAGTCATCAATTATTCGTGCTCTTTAATGTGAAACGTTAAGAAGCCGATCAAGATGATGGAAGTGAAAAAGCAGAAACCAAATTACCTATCCAATGTACAGCATGCAACTATTTTTTTTCTCTGGCCAATGTGTATTTCAGCATTGAGAGAACAAACAATGGAATAACAGCCGGAAAATTGTCACATAAATACGTTGCATGGCATAATGGATGACGAACAAAAGACATTTGAAGAGAGGCAACTATATTGCAAATAATGAAAACTTCGAAGGATAGAGCGATTGTGGACAGAAAAAAAGTGTACACATATACAACCGAGGAGCAAACGTATTTATTTCCCTCACTTGAATTTACATGGTGTGCTTGCCGAGGATATTATTCGAATCGGCGACAAACTAGTTCCAAATGACACCGAAAAAAAAGTGGAATGAAAATAGAGTCCCAGTGTGTGATACTGTGCACAGCATAGTACACACAATCAATTTATTATCCTTGCCGTGTGCGCTCGCTGCTGCCAACAAATGATTCAAAACAACAGCACACCAAATTGTTTCGATAGATTTCGAACAACAGCGTCAACGACATTAGCAGTGATATAGTGAAAATTCATTCGGAATGCATACGAACAATTCACATTCAATCATTTTTGAGCAACGAACAAATGGAAACACAGATAGGGAGAGAGAGAGAGAGCGAGAGGGAAGGAGAGAGAAACAAAGAGAGAGTCTATTGTTGCAATATGTATTTAACACTATCAATTTGTCACTGGGTTGCACAATGATGACGATAATTTACGATGCTGTGAGTGCTTGCGAACAATAAGACCATTGACCACAAATGCGGATTTCGACTCATTCCGAGTTTCTTCCTCATTGTCGTGTTCACTGTGAATAAGCTATCCTGGCGTCTAGGCAATTTACAATATCAGTGCTCGCGCGTTGCGTAAATAGCACAACGTCAGGATAATAACAGTTTAACACCAGGACTTTTACATCATAACAGCGCATGCTGTGCATTCTCAATGCATCTATGATAATGTTTGCTTTCAAAATTTAGGATGCTCACATTTGTGTGCCGTTCACAGCTATTTTGTGTCTCTTCAGTTCGTGTGGTGTCACATCAAACCGAGGTAAGCCAAGGTAAAGTGTTACAAAATCAAAGTCATAGATTAAAATGCATCAAGCATACCAAGAAATTGTTATTCGAATGTATTTTCGAAGGACACCAAATGAAAAGAGCGCTGCCACCAATTATATTTTTTGATAAAATTGTTCGGTTGTGCGTGCTCTTGTTTTTCGAAAGAATTTGTTGATAGGCCAATGAGCACGATATTGAAATTCAATTTCGCATAATGAATAACAATCAGTCTCAATTTGGGCGCGTCAAATCAGCCTGCCAACGCAACCGTTCAACCGTGGCAAAAATCAACCGGCGGCAATGTGATTTTCATTATCACTGACTTTGCCTACGGCAATCAGGCCTTCGTTTGCACATTTATTCACATTTTGTTCGATTCCCGTACGTCATAGCAATTGTTCCAATTTTTTTCTTTCTGCAGAAATTTGCGCCAATAAAAAACAATTCAATCATATAATTTCATATTTTTTTGTGGTGCAGCTGCCTCATGACATCCTAACATATCAATCCCTGCATATGTTCGCAACATTTGACGACGATTTGTATACATCACCTTTTGCTTTCTCGAAATTCGCTGCCTGAAAGGAAATGGGTCCGTTTCAATGGAAAAACAAGAAGAAAAAAAATAAAGAAAAAGGCGTTTGGTTCAGTTTCAGCACAACGTTTACAACTAAAATATTTCTTTATTTGTGTGTTTTTCCATTCGATTCCGCAATAACAATCAATTTTTTTTTGTTTGGATGTTTGCATAAATTTACTAGAATACTTTTATGACATGTCATAGTTATAAATGTTATAAATGTTCTTAAATTGTAGCTTTATGCGCGTTTTCAATTTGTAAGTTGTTTCAGCCAAAGAACAAAAAGAACAAGAGTAAAATTTGAAAATTGAAGAAATTGAGATTCGATTCATAAAGTTTAATTTAGAGTTAATCTAATTGAACGCCTTCTTTTCGCATTCTCTGTTGGGTCTGCCAATCATTTTCGTTAAAATACACCAATCAAAAATCTATTTCACACATCGCAAGGCTCATCATTTTTTTTGATTCAATTTGATTTTCTTTTGCTTCGCTCATCGGTCGTTTATCCAATTGTTTTTTACATAGAATTTTAGACATTTGTTTAGTTTGATGAATAGTTTATTTTTGGTATACTTTTTGTGTAATTTTTAAATCTTCTTTTTGTGTAATTTTTTTTGTCAATGAAAGCTACAAAGCCGAATATTTATTATCGCACAAAAGCCATGTTGTCTATGAGGCAATAGAGAGGAAAATCATGTTCAATTTTGTATAAAATTACATGCTTTAAATTGAATAATTTACTTCCTTGTTGAAGAACAAAAAAAAACTATAAACAAAACGACAAATATGCTTTATCAAAACAATTTTTAATCACTTTACTGCCACTTAAATGACATGCGCTGTCAATGCCAATTTGCCGTGTCATGCACATTGTTTTATACACCTTTTTTCACTGTTTTCAAGCAATTTTATTACATAATATGCCAAAATTGTGCTATTCATTCGATAAACTGCACAAATGAACTATCATTCCCATGAAATTTCAGGCAATTTTTTTTGCGAAAAATCAAAGCATTTTTTTTGTTACACAAATTTCTCAAGCGCAGAAATGACAAAACGAAAAAAGTTTTTCGATAAATCAACCGAGCTAGTCAAGAATGAGGTTCCAGTTTTGTTTGTACTTTAGAGATATATGTTTTTTTATCCATTTTCACCTTTAAATGGCTATGGTATAGATCGAAATGAATAAACGATTTGAATTGATCTTTACACAACATCGATACTTTTTTTTGTCATTAGAAATGTGATTTTATTTAATTTTAGTATTATTTATTATTCAAGCGAATAAATTTGGTACTTGTTTCCAATTTACACCATGAACGAATTATGTCTTTCAACATTTGTAACTCCCTCGCTCGTATCCACTGTGTGTGTGTTATTTGATTATAATCATTGCGATGCATTCCATCACTAGATAGCCTTTTTTTATAATATATAATAATAATTTCAGATTAAATTGTATGAAGTACCTAAATAATTTTTTTTTTAAATGTAAATTAATTAACATACACTATTAGTAGAGACTTTTGTGTGTGTGTGTATTTGTTTAATATTTCTTCATTGTTTTCATTCAATTTTTCTTCATTTCCATATGTGTATTAATATTAATAGCTAATCGTACATTTTACGGTAGGTTTCCATGCAAGCGCATTCTATGTGCAATTTTCAAAATATTTTAAATGTTTTTTATATGAAAGGGGGAGGTGGAGATGGAAAACGAGCTATCGTTTTTTTCTTTCCATTTTTCATTCAATGCGTTTACATTTCTTGTGTGTTCTCTCCTCTTCATTTCAAGAAAAAAAAAATGTTTATTTAATTGCATCAGCTAAGCAAATAAAGGATATCGTTAGCATTATCAAAATCTCAGACAAGACCCGGCTTAATGTCTAGCTGATCAGAGTTGTCTAATGGATTCGATGTGTGATGCATTTGATGTACCATCGACATTGAATGGTGCTGTTGTTGTTGCATGTGCTGTGGGTGTGATTGATTTTGTTGTGCTTGCTGATGATCTAAATGAGCTTGTTGTTGTTGTTGTTGCTGTTGCTGTTGCTGTTGCTGTTGTTGCTGTCCATGTGTGTTATCGTTGTGATTCACTTCTTCTGAATCGCTGCACGATTCTGATGATCCTTTTTTCGATGGATTATTACCATTGTGTGTTTTAACATGTTTTGCCAAATGATCGCTGCGCATGAAACGTTTATTACACACTGGGCATGCGAATCGCTTTTCACCGGTATGCGTTCGTAGGTGTCGTTGCAATTCATCGGATCGTGTAAAACGTTTGCCACAAAATAACCAATTACAAACAAATGGACGTTCGCCTGTATGCCAGCGTAAATGTGCCTTCAAATGGCTTGTTTTACCATAGACTTTACCGCAACCAGGTATATGGCAACTGTGAATGTTACGCTTACGTAAATGCAAACCGGCCGGTCCCAAGCGTTCGGCCTCTTGACAATTGGGACAATCGCATGTTGCACGTCCCGAATAACGTCGTTGAGATCGTGGCGATGGTGCTTGTGGTGTTGGCGGTGCTGTATTTGCCGTGTGCGGCAATGTAAAACCACCAACCGATTGTGATGGTAAGATTTTATAGGTATCTTGAAGTAAATGCTGACCAGAGCTTAGCAAATGGGCTGTATTCGATAGTGAATGGGGAAATGATGAATATTCAGTGCCGGTTGCATAATTTGCCATTGTTGCATGCATACCAGCTGCGGCAGCGTTACCCATATCCAACCAACTTCCAGCCGTACCATGCATATCCCACCAACCAGAATTTACCGATTCCGTTTTATGTGTAGCAGCCGCATTAAATGGCCAATCATAGGCCGGATGCCGTGAATATATTGTGGAATTGTCTACTTTTCCCAATAGACCTTGGTGCATATGCGGTTCGGCAATTGTTGCCGTTGGTGTACCAGCAAAATACATGTCATTTCCATATTGGGACGTTGAATTGGTCATCGAACATGACGATACCACCGGACGACTATTCCACACACAAAAATCCAAAACCGAACAGAAGAAAAAACCAAAGAGAAAAAGGGAGAAAAAAATGTTCAAATATTAATTACAGTTCGCCTCTGCACTTCGATATTTGATCGATTATTTTATTTCTTTCATTAAAGACTGAAAGATCTTTGTTTTAACAAATAAAGATAATCTAAGTTTTGGTTTCTTTTGTTTCGCAATATATATTGTTATTTACCTGTGTGTAAGGTTTCCCATTGTTCCGGTTGTGGATAAGTTTCGTTGTGAATCGATTGAATTAACATTATTTAATGTTGGCGAATGTTGTCCCATTGTTGGAGAGGCCGGACTCTTTTTCCAAGGATGAAATCCTTTGCCAATCGCAGCATCAGCCAATGGGGGTGGTGATTTGCTCGATAATTTATTACATTGAGCAGCCAACATAGCCAACGGTGTACCACGTATGTTTGAATGATCCTAGAGATTCAAAGGAAAAAACAAAACAATTAATTGTATTAATTTTCATCTTTTTCATCGCATTTGCTATTTACTTAATCTACAAAAATTTAATGATTTCGTTGGCAACATTTTTCTGGTAAAAAAAAAAATCAACGCAACAACACAAAATACCGCACAGATACACATGTGTATAAGTTAAGAAAAACAAAAAATTATAAATTAAAAGCAATTTATCCCACGGCTCTCACATTTGTTTTGTTTGTTCATTCATTTATTGTGTTTTTGTACAGAGAACGCACAAAATGCGAAATATGAAAACATGTATAAATATGTACCGAACAGAGATGGTTTTCATTTGGTTATATTTTTGTTTTCATTTTCTGCAATGCGAGAATTTCATTTTGTTTAATTTGTTGTTTACATGTTGGTTGTATTCTTGCTGGTTGGGTGTATGTGTGTGTGTGCGAATCGCAAGTACACTCTAAGCTTTCTTATTCGTCGGTTTCACGATATCTATAGTCTACATAATAGATACAGGCAAATGTTTAGGTATTTATTTCTGTGAATCAAAAAAGGTACCCAGCGAAGAGTGTACGCTCAACTCTTCTTTATCATTTGCTTTTCATTCTATTCGAATTGTAAATAAATATCTTTTAATTAATAAAAAAAAATAATGCAGAAAGAAAGAAGAAAACAACATCAAAAATTACGAAACAGAAAATGAGGTATAACGCCAACAGAGCAGCAAATAAAAACTAAAATAATTGAATCGAATGATATTCGAAACGAAATATTTTTACATAAAACCACAATTTTCATGTTTTGTGCGTTCATTACATTTTCCATTGAAAAAGAAACCCACACAACGAAATGTGAGAGAGAGAGAGAACTGCGTGTGCCGATAATGGAAAACACAGAAAAATTCACGTCGAATACAATGTGTTTTTGCTCGTTAAGGGAAGGACGTAAATTCTTGTACTTTCGTTCACATTTAATGAGCAATGGTAAAAATCCGTTAGAAATTAACATCATTAATTGTCTTAAGAAATTTTGTCACATTTGCTTGCATTTAATTCCTGCTCATTGGCCCTGCAATCAATTGGGCAGCAATGCCACAGCAAATGATGGTCAATGCGCCTCGTAAATTTTACGACGCGCAGATTGAATTCGATGGTAAATTATGGAAAGAGCAACGCCATTTTTAAACATGCACATCACAGTTAGTGCAGCAAAATCGAAAATGTGACCGTTGTTGGAAAATTATTTAATAAATGCATATTTGCATAAATTATAAAACAATCATGAACAAATTAAATTTGCTTTTGAACTTTAAGAAATCAATATATGCCAACACCAGAATGGCAACCAATCGGTGTGGGTTTTTTATTCGGTTTAATAAAAAAGTCGACAATGAGACGACAACGACATCGATGACGATCACAAGTGACGCTTCCACCATTATGTTTCAATTTTTCTTTTCGATGTCACAACGTGAAGCCAGTTTTTTTTTTCGGAAAATAATTCGCAAAAATGCCCTTAACTAATTTCATTGCGTCAATCAGTAGGAAGAAGAAGAAGAAAGAAAGACAAATTGTTTCGCCAATTTGCAAACACAGCCTGGCCAATGACAAAATCGAGAAGACAAATACAGTTTGGAACATACATACTATATAAAAAAACTGCTGGTCGTGGAATAATAATAATAATCATAATGTCGATCAGAAAGCATTTGGCTTTTTGATCAATTTAACCGACGCTTGTTGTTAACTTGGTGCACTGCGATTTGGTATCGTATATAGTGTTTCGAAAAAAATTCCATACGGCAAATGGAAAACGCCTAAATGTCGAAGCCATTTTGCTGTGGCAAAAGTGCGGCGAATAATGCGCAACCAAAAATGGCAATTTTCAGTCAAATGCAATTTGTTGTTGTCGCACTGGGGCCGGTTGATATCACGGGACCTGCATATTTATTACAATTATGACAATTTGCATCGCGAATCGAATTATGTGCACAAGTATTATTTGCGTACAGCATTAACAAGTAAGCTGTTTTAAGTTGTTCTCTCTCTATCCCTCCTTTTCACTGCTTTTACGTGCAATTTCGTTTTGTTTCTTTTTCACATCGAAAATTCCGTTTCGCACGTACAGCACATTTTTTTATTATTATTGTGTTTTGTGTTGTCGAATCGAGATGCCAATTGAAATGTACACGTCGTCGGCAATTGATTCTTGCAATTCATTACAGAACATACAAAAAGACGTACATGTATATGCATTTTGACCTACAATTTTGACTTTTAGTTAACAATCCATCAATAATAATGCCCATTCGCTTTTCAGTTTCTGTTGTGTCGATTGAACAACTGAGCTGCCGTTGGTGCTGTTACAGACGCGCGCGGCAGCTGCTTAGAACGGAAAAGACAACAATAAATATTGAATACATTGTTTCATTCTCTCGATCTCTATCTCTCTCATTTCTTCGCTTGCAATGAGTATTTGGTTATGGTAAAAGGCTAATCAATTTACACGTAGCCCCTGACCACTTCAACTTCAGCGGTCTATTATAAAATATGATTTATTTCGATTAAACGGGAACATTTGGATACAAAACAGACAATTATGGAATTATTGTTTTTAAAATTAGTCAATAATTTTTTTTTATTCTTCTCATTCGGCTGCAGCCTGAGTCAAATCATGAGAAACGCTGCCGAAAATCGATAAAATGTATTTTTAAATATATAGACGAAACCTTTTTTATCTTTTTCAAACGAAATAAAGATTCGCTTTGTTTCCGGTTTGAATAAATTATGATAAAAAAAAAATTGAAGCGAATGCGCTCTTGCGATCGAAAATATTCGATCAATAAATATTATGTGTCAAGAAATCTGTAATTAACTGCCAACGGTTCGCGGTGGCGACGATGGCAACGGCACCAGTGGTCGACCAGCATTTCGAATATAAAGATAATCCTATATTCCGTTTACTGGAAATGGGAAGTTAAACAAAACAAATTGACACAAAATGTTCTCGTTTCTCATAAAAAGAGAGTAAAAAATTCATTCATGTTATTTTTTTTTTTTGTTTGATTATTTGGTAAATGCGTGTTTTTGTTAATTCATCGGCTTATGTATTTGAACGAAAAGACAACAAATTTTTGTTTAACTCAATTCTGGTTTCTCTATTTTTCGTCGTAAAAAACAGTTGAAGAGCTGTAAAAACATGATTTTTTTTTCGTCCATTTGGTACATCTCTTCAAGCCTACTTCAAAATGGAATAAATTAATAATCCAAAAATGACATAAGCACCTACTTCACAGTGACACAGTTTTTTTTTTAATATTGTCGATTCTTTGCCACAACAAATGACAAACCAACAATGAAAAGGACAACACAATGAACCGAATTTAGCACACTCAAACACCATTGTCGTTTTCAATGGACATTTTCGAATTTTGTTCGGCACTTTTTCTTGTGTTTATGTTTCGTTTCACGTAAGCGTTGCAAATCGATTTTGAGAGAGAGAAAAAAAACGAAAAGAAGAGAAATTGAGCTAACAATGCTTGATATTGAATTTAAGCGCCCAGCTTTAAAAATGTTTTATTTTGTTTTGGCCCAAATCAAACAGATTCAATAGAATCGGACGAAAAAATGAAATTCTAAGACGAAAAGAGAACAACGAAGAGATCGTGTCCGAAATGTGGAAAGAAAAGCTAATAATACTAATCCATGCAGGAAGAGAGACGGTGAGAGAGAGTGAAAGGTAAGTAAAAAGCATCACACTGTGCCACATCATGCTTCATTATTACACTCGATAAGCTGACATTATCCCGAATTAGCAGATGATTAGTCTTGTAAATATCGGCAAATACTATTAACTTTCCGAAGAATCCATTTCGATTCCGTTGTTATGACATACTCTCGATTCCTGTTAACATTATGACTATTTATAACGTTTTTCTTCTTCTTTGTCGCCTTGCAGAGTTTTTTTTTGTTGTTGTCTGGATGCTATTTTGCACGTTAAAACATTTCAAGATTGCACTTTTTGTGCCAGCCATTAAATCGTATATATAAAAAGTTTCAACTCTCCCTCTCTCTTTCTAGAGTTTTGTGTATATGCTCAGCAGGACACTTTTTTAAGTGGAAAACTTTTCAATAAACTCAACTGAAAAAAAAGTATGCTTTTGAACGCCCCGAGACAAAAAAAAATTAAATATTGAATAAAACGACATAAGGAGGAGGAATTAGTCTTTAATTCAATTTACCATTGAAATGTTCATGAAGATTTGAATTTATGTGAAACATTTGAATCAAATAAATGCAAAAAAGTTGAATCAGAGGAAATGAATTTTCTAAATTTTGGCAATATGTAAAAGGGTGAAGCCACCCGATATCGTTAAAAGTGATTTCAAAATAATCAAACCAATTTTTATTGATAGATAAAAATATATACAGTGAGCATAGAGACACACATAGAGAGCATAGAGACTAGAGAGTCAAAGAGTATGAATTGAACTTTATTTACACGTCATGCGTAACCTGTTGGCGTATTACGTGCCAGAATGCGTACTGTGGGCGTGTTTTATGAAAAATAACATTTCATGTAAAATATATATACAGTAACAGCGATTGGGTAGCAGCACCAATACATCGTGTACTCTCTCGATTTGTGTGTATTTGGGAACAGGCCGGCGCACTGCTGTTTCACTTAATTTTCGTACTTCGTAATAGATTGATGTGTACTTGAAATTCACCATCGTCATTGAATCTAACGACGTATGAAATTGCTCCTGTATTTTAACTTTGAGGAAGTTATACTGTCTGACAAATGGGGATCTTGATTCTGCACAACAACACCACCAGTCATTCAGCATAGAGAAGATAAAAAAATAAGAAAAACAGAAAGCGAGAGAAAGAGTGGAGAGAGGCAGCAAGTGAGTGGTCGATTAGAAGAAGTCCAAATTGTGTAGTAGCTTGTGAATCAAAAGGCCACTTTGTGATAATTGTTTGTTTCAAATGTTT